TATGGGACAGAGCAAGTGATGTACCTCTTCATAAATTTCCTCATCATACGGCAGCTGTCAAAGCCATTGCTTGGAGTCCACATTCACATGGTCTTTTGGCAAGTGGTGGCGGTTCTCAAGATAAGCACATTCGATTTTGGAATACTACGACTGGCAGAGCCTTAGAGAGTTATGATACTGAATCTCAGGTATTCTTTATTTCTTTTTGCTTGTTATCGATTAAAAATTAACATACTTTCAGGTTTGTAACCTTGCGTGGTCTAGGCATGCAAATGAAATTGTGTCAACTCACGGATACTCTCAGAATCAAATAATTCTCTGGAAATATCCTACGATGGAGCAGCTTGCTATTTTAAAGGGACATTCTCTCCGTGTTCTTTACCTTTCTGTTTCACCTGATGGCGAGAATATAGTTACTGGTGCTGGTGATGAAACTTTACGCTTTTGGAACGTATTTAACAACGGAAAGAAAGAGAAGAAGCGTATGACTGCATTTGATATTCGATCACAGATTCGTTAAAGTTAAAAAACATTATAATAGGCTTTGTGGTTTTTTTAGTGATTGTAGTATAAGCTTAGCCGAGTCGATAATTTTGATATTGCTAAGCCGGCTATTATCTCAAATTAAATCTGCCAATAATATTTCAATTTTTGAACTAAAACCATAACTCGGAAACTCCCTCTGACTACGCTTCGTATTTTATGTTTCATTTGGCATAAATAAAAAAAATATATAAAATATTATAATTTCGATATTTGTAAATCATTTTTTCATATGACTCGTGGTACAATAGATTGTTATATATATAGTAAATATACTGGTAATATTTTAATTAAAAAGCTTTATATGTTAATTAAAACAGTTTAATAAAGTTAAAAGATTGTTTATATAATATAATTATTTGGATTTTATAATTTTTCGCCTATGCCACTTATAAGGTCATGTGTAACGTTAAATCAAAATAATGATAAAAATGTGTTAGTTTAAGGTTAGGGTTAGCATTAGACTAGAGTTAGATGTGGCTTTAGGAAATAGAGTTTTTAACCTAAAATTTTGCAAGGAATTTTTTTAATTAGTGGTTTCATATGCAAAATCTTGAGTTACAGATTATTCAAAAAAGACAATGTTTTGCTTCGATTTTACGTTACATTTGATCTTGCATTCTAATTGGTCGATCAGGTTAGCGATTACAATACCCTAATTATTATTACCGTATAAAAGCAACCAAAAAAATGCTTAATTGTAATTGGTTAATTTAAAAAAATGTCAAAAATTAAAAATTAATTTAATTTTTTTTATAAATATATTCGATAAATCAAATATTAATTATATTTATTTAATTGCAAGTTAATATATAAAAGTTTATATAATTATATATATATATATATTTTTTTTTTTTTTTTTTTTTGTTATGCCAAAGTAGAAACTTTATTAAGTAATAAAAATAATTACATTGAAGATTTCTAAATTACATTTGTGTTACTTATTAAGACACTCAATGTGACATTACACCTCTATTTCTATATAATACTATTATTAATTATTTCAAATTAATTTTAAGCATAGAAAGATTGGAGGAAATCTAAGTAATTATATTTTAATTTAAATGTATCAAGTTAGTGTATCATGCTTAATGAAATAACTAATATTTTAATTTGAGTTTGATTTGTAATAAATATTACACAAGTTGTTATTAATATCATAAATTAGTATAACAAAACTATAGTAATATATAATGTTTTTAATATATATATAATATCTAATATTTTTTTTTTTTTTTAATATTAATGGTGAGGTCATGCCTCTATCTTTATTGAATATTTAATTGAGATTTTACATAAAGT